TATATAATGATCACTAGAGATGTCATTAATTCTACTTAGGTCCTTATCTCAATACAACTATTGATCCTCTTGTGTTCATAATACAAATAAAGATTAAATAAGTACATCCGTTTAAGTAATGATATCAATGGAAATTCTGACAAATAATTCTCTCTTAATATTATTTTGGAATCATGATTTCTAAGTTTATTCTATCGTACTCTCTTCGTTATAGAAAAATATTCCACTTTGTTGATAAAACAATACAATAAAATAACAAGTAACAGTTTTTTCTGGGATAGAAGGAACATTTTTTTTAATGACTGTAATTGATACATTCATCTTGTTTTTGCTAATTATGGTGCCTGTATACGTGTATGCGTCTAAAGTCATTTTTATTGTTATTATTATCATGGTGCAATGTGTACAATAATGTTATTTTGTTATTTTTATTCTTCATTTTGGATTTTGATAGTATATACATCTAACACAGTATGTTACACAAGCATTAAAGAAGCAATAAAAGACGTGTGTACGATAATAAAATCTATATGGAAAAATAAATTCAAAATGTGAAAGATAATAGTAAAATATTAATGTATCTGGTTTCAAGCAAGAGAAAAAACAAAAATCATCATTCTAAGTTCCAACCTCTATATAAGCCCGAATGATCTTCTCCGAATCCGTGCACCAAAACATCCAAATATTTCCAACCAATTTTTTACAAAGTAAAAGGGGAAAAGAAGCCCATCATTGTGGCTTCAATATGTAAGTTAATGATCGAATCTCTAGTAAAGTTTCTTGCGATTGTTGTGAGCATTGCTCCATCATCTCGAGCACTTCTGGGCCAAACCCAAGAAGCCATGGATGAATGGTTCTGTTTGCGTGAAAATTGTGCACCCGAAACCGTGAGAAAAAAGGGAACAAGAATCACCCAAAATACAATTAAATCTAACGATTGTGGTTGAGTTTGAATCGGCCTCGGACCAGGATCGAGGACTTAGGGTTATTGACTTTAGTTTGAGAAAGACAAGTAGAAATTAGGGAAAGTGGAAAAAACCCGAAGAGACGGCATTTGACTCGTAAAGTGGAAAATCCTATCGTCGACAAGCTATAGATGGTGCCGATGACACGCTATTACATAGACGACAAAGACATGACGGACATGCAGAGGGTAGTCCGATATACATAAGTGTTAGAACACCTATTACAGCATAACTGCATTCGTTGGAGTAGAAAACGGTGAACACCTACTTAATTCTACGTAGGAGAAAAAGGCAAATAACTTTCTTGTTAAGCTAGAGACTAAGCAAGCATGATAAAATGTGATGAACTACCATAGCGAAGGTAAAAATATGAATAACGGTAAAACAAATAATAAAGAACAAGGAAAACCAGTTGCATGGTTGATCGGTGATGATTTTCTCTTCATGGCTGCCTCTATTTATAGTGCTTGGACGAAATCCTTGCTGCCCTATAATTCGTTGGAGAAAAGGTAGCTTAAGATGGTCAATTTTCTTGAAAATAGGCAATTATTCCCGCAGCAGTCTCCCAATCAGTTAATGACTCTTCTCACAATCAGCTCTTAATTTGGTAATAGAATTCTTTCACAAATATATCTCTTTAATTACTGGTAATTTCCCTTATTAAAAGGAGTAAGAAATAAGGAGGAATCTCCCTTAATTTTCAATTAATCACAAAGCCGATTTTGGAGCAATTCTATTCCTACTCGGCATCTACTTTCTTTTTCAATTCTGAATCTGTTCATATTCAATCAGCCCATATTGACCTCAAACATATTTTGGCCCCCTTTTGGGCTATTTTAGAGCCTTAAAACCTCAGCCATAATCACATAAATTCACCAAAACTCATGGGCTATCACAAACATCACCTGTCGGCCCAAATATCCAAAAACTGGCCGAACACGTTTAGTCAACTTCCCAATTCAAAACAAAAGATCACAAAGCTTCATTTCTAAATTCATGACGTCGCCATCGGGACGAACGCATCCATCGTGCCTGTTGCTCAGGCCAACATTACCGATTCATCTCCGACCCAGTTTGGAATAGTCAATGTTGTTGATGATAAACTGACATAAGGGCCCGAACCCGACTCGAAGCAGGTAGGTTACGTTCAAGGGGTTTATGTTTCGGCTTCTAAAGAAGTGGAGAGTTTGCTTGTGGCCCTCAATTTTGTGTTCACCGAAGGCGCGCACAACGCAAGCACGCTTAGTGTTTTGAGCCGGATCGCGGAGTTTTCTGAGAATCATGAGTTCCCGGTGCTTGGTGGCTCCGGTGATTTCCGGCTGGCTCAAGGAATCGTCGTTGCCGATATTCAGTCAGTCGGCTGATGCTAAAACCGGGAATCGTATCGTTGAGTGGCAATTTACCGTTTTGCATTACGATGAGAGTACCCTTAAGTCTGGTGTCATGTCCTCTTGAAAGTTGGATCAACATTTCTCTATTGTTTCTTGCTGTTGTTGAGTCATGTCTCTGTGTCATAAAAGTAAAACATGGGATGGACAAATGAGTTATTTCTTCCGTCTCAAAATATTAAAGTCAAAATGTCATTTACTGTACTTGTTTAATTTAGATTAATCCTATTCATGTGTAATGATTTCTTCTGTACGTTGATCTTCTATGATTGTGTACTAATAGTTTTAGCATGTATATTTCTGTAATGCAGTATCCTTATTGAGTTTTTGGTACTTTTTCTCCCTTTTTATTTGATTAAGAGCGTACGAAATATTTATATGCACCTATATTACTCAAATATGAATTAAGTGAGAAACGTGATTTCAGATATCAAATGTGTCCGTATTATAGATACCAAAAAATTCATACCTGTCAAGTGTAATATTTGCTGTTTAGTTCGTGTTATATTGTTTTTATTTTGTGTTTTGAAGTATCATGTGTAATATTTGCTTTTCTGCTCAAACATAAACAAGTGATACATCTATACAAACTTTATTAACTTAACGTTGTGATTGTACACTACAAACTTTCTTCAAGCTGAAATTTACTGGAATTTAAGTCTATCAATAATTTAGTCATCAATGCAGGCTTGCGGCCATAAACGTTGCACTATATATATATATATATATATGTTGTGGTATTGTCAAGTAAAAAATTTGGGGTTTTGTTCCATGACACCAATCTATCCGACCCAATAAATGAATGAAAATTGAGAACTAAAGAGTTTCAATTACCAAAACCAAACTAAAGAGCAAAATCAGTAGAGAAGGCCTCGAGAATCTTAGCAGAAGTAAGAAACTAAAGAGCATCAATTTAATTTAAGATGTAGCCAACATTGGGTTAATTGTGCGTGACAACTAAATATGTTGTATCATGAGTTGATAAAAATGGACAAACTATAAGAACATCGGTTGCTTGAAAAATTATCAAATAAATTGGTTACTTTCCTCGTACAAGAATATGTTGTTGCAATATTTATAAATCAGATTATTAAACTCGTGACCAGGATGAGATTACACATGATACATGATTACACATAATTCCCGCACAAACTAGGATTGTTGATTTTTATTCTTGCAAACAACAACATTATTCAATTCATTTCCAAGATGCTTAATTTTTTCCACACAAAAAAAAACTTAAGCAGATTCCGATCTTCCTTGAGATTCTCTTCCGCTAAGAAGTGTCGCCTCTTGCCTTCCATACTTCAACCTCCGGGCTTCCTCTCGCGAAATCCGGTAAGAACTGGCCAGAATATCCTCCGGGATCGACCGGATTGTCGAGAGCCGTCCAGCGAGGGAGCTAGTCATGGCATTAGCATTAGTCTTGAATGAAATGCACTCAATTCCTTGGTTTCCAGCCTTCTTAATCACAGCAAAATTTTGCGGCACAATGATCAGTTGGCCCTGGTTAACTTGATCATCAAACACATTGTTTCCATTGTCCCCAACGATCTGAATCCTTCCACTTCCACGGATGATGTAAAGAATTGTGTGTGCATTGATTGTCCAATGAGGAGTCACAAGTGCATTGCTGTAGAGATTGATATGCTCTGCACTGAGTTGAAGGAGGTTGAGAACCGGAAGAGTTTGGCTTGTGACGGTGCTCAGGCGGCCGGCGCGCGGGTTGAAGAGATCGGCACGGGCCGGATGGGCGATGTTCTCCCGGAGTTTCTGTGTGCAGATTGTTTCTTCAAGTCCATTCCATCCTCCTCCTCCTCTTCCTTGCTGCTGCTGCCCCTGTTGTTGGCGTTGTTGGCGTTCTTGTGGGTCGAATTCGGGTAGCGAAAGCTGGAGATTTTCGGCACGAACAATGCTTCCTCTTTGATTCTGTTGGCCCTTTAGCCTCTGGATGATTTGTTGATCAAGGTTGAATGCATTCGCCAAGATTTCATCATCAAATCCAGTGAAAATGTTTCTGTAGTGTCCCCTCTGTTGTTGCCCATGTTGACCATGTTGTTGTTGTTGTCCCTGTTGTTGCTGTCCTTGTTGCGAGTTTCCGGCAAGGAAAAAGTTCTGAAATTTTGATACAAAATTGGCCAAATATCAATCACCAATTAGTAACTTATACACAATTGAATGAAAGACTTAACAATAAAATCGGAGCTAATTTGGTTCCAGTTTAATGTTTACCCTGAACTGGAGATCAAGCTGGTTAGCATCATTGGCAACATCAACAATGGCGACAAAAACAAACGGAACTTCTCCATCATTGTAAGTCCAGTGAGTATATCCAGCCGGAATCGCAAGAATATCACCTTGTCGGACTCTCCTGAGTTTCTGATGCTTGTCTGTAAATTGTTGTCCCCATGGTCCTTGTCTCTGTCCTTGTTGTCCTTGGCGTTGACCATGTTGTTGTCCTTGCTGTTGACCTTGTTGTCCCCATTGTCCTTGGGAAGATGAGTATGATTCAAATGTCTCAGCACATCCAGGAATCACAGCTCCATGGATAGCCCTTCCTGCAAATTTTTAACACAACCAAAATTGAACAAAAATGAAGCAAGAAAAAAAAAAACAGAGGAAAACAGAGGATTTGGTTGTTATTGAACTAGCCTTGGAGGACATAGTAGAGCTTAGGAGCATTGCTGTAATGAGGCAACAAGAGTCCCTGAGGCTGAATTGTCTTGCGCTCAACTTCGACGCCGGCGCATTCGAATTCGGGATTGTTAGAATCCCAAAGCTCAGTCAATCCAGCTTCAGAGGGGATCTGAATGTTGGGCTGTTGAGCATTAATCCTCTGGATGTTGCAAGGGGTTTTAGCCCTTAGCCTGTGTTGCTGTTGCTCTTGAAGGTCCCTCCAAACAGTCTGTTGAGGTCCTTCTAATTGAGCAAAACAGGTGTGAAAGAAGAAAAGAAGAAAGCAAAACAAACTGGAGTACTTAGCCATTTATGAGAGTTTCTGCAATTGAAGAGAAGAAAAGAAAGAACACAAGAACTGGGATGTGGCGAAAATGGAAGTGAAAAATGGATGGTTTAAATAGGGATGGAAATGTTTCTTAGGATTTGACACGTACGAGGATTGAATCTAACACTTGGCTTCTGCATGTTTTGAGTGCTCTTTCTTTTTGCCGCTTGCATGGCTATGGAGGTGGAAGGAGCTGTGAATGATTTACACATATGAAGAAATTGAGGCTATGTGGCATCGATTCTCTGAGGCATTTTTTGCATGAAGTTGTTGTAATTTAGCATAATACTGATTTGGATTTTGCTGGATGCTAAAAAAATGAGCCGAAAATGCCACCGATTTGATGATGGTGATGATGATGGTCTTTTTATTTGAATTTGATCCACATTACTGACTACATACAGTGAGATATACAAAGTTTTGTGATTTTGCATCATTTTGGTTTTGCGGAGCTTCCGTGTGGCCGCATCACATGCTAGCTACTATCTGTTTCTTCTCAAATTAAATGCTCTGTCTCATTTATCTTGTATATGGATCCAACTTTCGGTGAAATTTTCTTTTGTGTCTAGATAATTAATACTAACACATTAGCAAAATGATAAATGAACCATAAGTGTGGTTAATACCTTTCGATTTTAAAAATACTCTCTCCGTCCCAAAATTATTATTCAGTTTGGTTTTTATTTTTTGTTCAAATTGTATAAAAAAATGAAATGTCAAATTAGACAATAATTTTGGATCGGAGAGAGTAAGTAAGTGTAGTCAACTACTACTTATGCAAACTGAGATATCTCGTGGAGTCTGAAAACAAATTAGCAGAGTAACTCAAAACGTAAACTCTCCGATTCCATTTATAAGTTATACTCCCTCCGTTTTAAAACTATTGCCTAATTTGGATTTTCAGTTTTAGTACAAATTGAACTAAAAATGAAAATCTAAATTGGACAATAATTTTAGGACAGAGAGAGTACTTTAATAAACACAATAATTTTAAATTGTGAGTAGTTAATTAATAAATAAAACCAGACGAAGTATTAAAACGAAATCTACATTTGCTGTCATAAAGCCAAAGAACTCGATTAAAAGTAATAAACATCAAATTCGCGCGCCATAAAAAAAAAACAAGAAATCAATTACTTTGCATATAGAGTAGAAATTCCTTAAATTAATTCTCGATCAAGTAAAACATTCATTAAATGATATTTTTCTCTAGTACGAACTCGAGACCTGTACAAAAAATAAAATATCTCGATTAATTTATAATATAATAATTTTACAAGAATCTCTTAAACAAATATAGGTCCCCAAAATTTCATAAATTAATAAATACCTAAAATAAAAAATTAGATTTAAAGATTAAATTATATTTTTTTTGTGCAAATGTAAATATATTGACATAAAACACCAAAAGTGACAGTTCTGTACAGCTTATCAAGAGGCCTAACTCAGAGTTACAAAACTGGAAAAATCAACTACAATACTACCATCAGAAAAAACAATCAACTATAAATTTATTACTCGATTACACATTCTGCTTTATCCACTCACTGATGGAAAGAACAACTGGAATAACCTGTCTTCAGCTGCTGTAACATGCTTTCTTTTCCTAAGCAGAAATCTGGCCTTCATCTCAGTTTGAATTCGTTTCATAACATATGCTGGACCTTGCTCCAAATTACCAAAAAACTTTCTATTCCTCTCTTCCCAAAGGTGATAAATACAAGCATTAAGAGCTGCCAGAAATACCTGCCTTTTAAATTTAGCTCATTTCCAGACAGTCAGGATCTGCTGTTTCCATCTGTCCCCTTGGTTGCTCAGCTTTCTGCAACCTAGCCATCTTCTGATCAACTCCAACAAGTTAGTTGCAAATTGACAATGGAAGAATAAATGACTTATGGATTCTACTTCTGTCTTACATAGCAGGCAAGAAGGATTTGAAATGGCAACATTCATCATAGTTAATCTGTCCTTCGTAAGAAGTCTTTTTTTTTTTCCAGACCAACCAAGCAATGAAGCTATGCCTGGGAATGGTCATTCTATCCCAAACACACAAAATTCAGGTTTCTTCACTTCTCCTCCTATCAGCCATCTGTTACCTGAATTAATTGTGTACTTACCTTGCTTTCCAGCCTTGCAGTTGGGATGATCAAAAGCACCTTTCACTTGCTCCCTTAACTTTAACAAATGTTTCCACTGCCAGTTAGAATATGGTTTTATCTGAGCCTTCCTGCAAAATTCAGATTAAATTATATTTTAACTTAAGTATTTTTTTTATGTTTCCAATTATCATCTTTTTATTTCATTTTAAAAATTATAATAATATAAACATAGTTTTTTTTGGAATAAAATTGTTTTCATTCCATTTTACAAAATGGAAATTTCAAACTCCATACAAAAAACTCAACCACTTAGGCTAAGGATCATCCTAGATGTTTCTGGACAAAAAAAATCACACCACAAACCTACCAACTATTACAAAGACACAACATTGTTTTATCTAAGAGAAAGTTGGGGTAATCCCCATCGTGTTAGCCCAAACCTTATTCTTCTGGGTGTTTTTCATCTGCTTGACCTTTGCCAGATTCAACTTCAAAGCAAACTTTAAATTCAAATACTTTAGGAGTCTCACCTCTAAGTTTAATCCTTGCATCCCAAATGAGGTAAATAGTAACATACTTCTAATGATGTTGTCTATAACAGAGCTAGAACCATAATGATGCATTATCCAAACTACTAGATCCTTCCAAGGAATCAGAGGAATAGAGACTTGAACAAAATTCATAGCATTATTAATGAGATGACCTGAAAGTAAGCACTCAAAAAGCAAATGATGTCTGGATTTAACTTGCATACTACAAAAAGCACAAATTGTGCTAGTAGAGGGGTCAAATTGAGCCACCCTTTCCTTAGTTTGAAACTTGTCAAGTATAGCTAACCAAGCTACAAAGCTGTGTTTTGGAACAAAGTACTTACTCCATACCAATTTGTACCAATGAACAGAAAGATAATCAAGCATAATGGTTAGAAAAATTCCAGTTGAAGAGAAGGCATGCCCTTTACCGTTCAACACAAGTACTCCTCCATTGGAGTTGTCAACACATTGTACATCAATCTGTGTCAAATCCATGATCTTTTTCATAATCCAACAAGTACTTTGAGTGATCCTGTAGCTCCAAAGATATGAGTTCTTCAAATAGTATTCGTGAATCCACTTAACCCAGCAAGAGTCAGTTTTCAGAGCAATATCCCAAGCAATTTTAGCATCAAAGCTAAATTTGATGAGACGGAGTCCACAATGCCTAAGCCACCTTGGGAATATGGTTTGCACACAAGCATTTGCAGCCTTCAAAGTGAAGAACTCTTCATAATATAAACATAGTTGCAGCTAATTTTTTTGAAATAAAATTAATACATTTTTCTTAATTAATACGCTCGAAAAAAGAACTCTTTTAATTAAAAAATTATTAATTTATTAATAAAATACTAAATCTTTGAGGGCTAATTGTATTAATGTATATAGGCTCATCGTTCACTGTAGTGTACATCAAATATGTAATAAAAACAACTTTCAATATATATATGTGTGTGTGTGTGTGTGTGTGTAATAAAAACTGAGATAGTAGTGGGTCAGAAACTAATTAGAGACTGTCAGATATGGTGTTTCCGGCGAGATTTTCGTCACCGGAGGTGTGGCGGTTATCAAGAAATTGAGAGAGAGAATGAGGGAGGTTAGAGTGTAGAAGAGAGCGAGAAGAGAGACTGAATTTTATTTCATTAATCAACAAAAACATCATTTACATTTTTTGCAATTAATAGCTACTAATCATTGACTAATCATTGCTAATCATTGACCAAATCTATGTTTCAGCCGACTTCCAATTAGGTCCCCAAAGTTTCCCAATAGTTCAATTTAATCCATGTATGTGACAACTCCCTCCTCCATAAGAAAAACCTTGTCCTCAAGGTTCGAAACCTAGAAATTGACTCTTGATGAAGTTAGCATCTTCCCAAGAAGCATCTTCCAAAGGGAGATCATTCCATTGAATGAGCCACTGAACGACTTGAGCTCCATGTCTGTGGACAAATCTTCTTTGCAACACCTTAGAAGGAGCAAGGATGCTTTCTTCAAGCAAACTCAAATCAGGCAGAGAAGTAGCAGCAGGAATCTGACTGCCATAATGCTTCTTAAGGAAGGAAACGTGGAAAACTGAATGAATCCTGAGTTGAGAAGGAAATTGTAACCTGTATGCTACCTTTCCAATTTTCTCTACCACCTTGTAAGGGCCATAATATCTTGACATAAGCTTCAAGTGTGATCTAATAGCAACAGTAGACTATTTGTAGGGTTGTAACTTGAGGTAAACCCAATCTCCAATAGCTAATACTCTCTCATAGCGATGTTGATCCGCATAAAACTTCATCCTTTCTTGAGCTTTCTTCATCTGTTCCTGGAGGATCTTGATGATGACAGTTCTTTGCTGCACCTCAGAAGCTGCTGCTGGAATGATGCTGGCAGAGAAATCACCAATGGGAAACATACTTGGTTTTTCACCATATAATGCTTCAAAGGGAGTCATGTTGATGCTGGAATGGTGTGAAGAGTTATACCACCATTCAGCAAGGGTGAGCCATTTACTCCAAGTGCTAGGTTTTTGACTGGTGGGGTGTCAAGCCAACAAACAATTTAACCTATTTCCAAACTAATGTAGTACAGGAAAGTAAGGTTGTCTCCTCAGGGAATGGTGAATTTCTCTCTTTTAAATCAAGTAACCAAAAAGGGGGGGTTTTGAGTTGTTGAAATAAATTGCAAACAATACAAATTGCAAACAATTGCTAAAATGATTCAAACAAATAATGAGAAAATATCTAGCTGAAGGGTTTGTATATCCACCTTGATTTGAACAGTTGATCATAGATGCAATGATATTATCATTAACTTATGAGTAGATTAGTTTTCATTGTTGGAACCTCCAAACAATTCA